AAGCCACCAATGAAAGAGTCTGAAATGATTGATCTTTTTCTCCAAGCGCAAGAATCAGACTACTTTCATTATTTACTTTCCGTTGTTGGAAAAACGTTTGCTGAAGTTATTAATATTGGTGAAATGGTGGAAAATGGCATCAAGTCTGAAAAATTGTAAATCAAGCTTCCTTGAAATCCACCACACAGGTGATTAAAAATGGATCAGGAAATCTTAGGGGAAAGAAAATGAAGGAGGATGTAGCAAATGTTATGTCTGACACACAAAAAGATCCAAGGGGTCCAGTTTATCAATATGCACCACCTCAATTTTATCACTATATCCCCATGCAAGACACATAATACTCTATTGTCCCACCTCAATATGCAGTCTATGGTGCACAACCATATGCATATCCACCAAACTATCCCCAATGGCGTGCGCCAACATATCAAAATATTCGTCCTTCTTCTCAAAATTACCGTACACCTTATAATCCCCGTCCAAGACAGGGATTTGAAGGAGGTCAAAAACCTGTGAACAATTTCATACCAATTGGAGAGTCTTACATGAATTTATTTGAGAAATTGAAACATTTGAATATGATAGAGCCGATTCTTCAAAATTTTGCAGATCCACGTTCAAAAGGTTTCAATCATATAGTACGATGTGCATACCATTCGGATGCCCTAGGGCATAGTACTGAAGATTGTCGAACTTTGAAAAGTGAGGTGGAAAAGATGATCCAAGCAAAGATGATTGTGGTCCAAAATAATAATCTCCCAAATGTTACTCAGAATCCTCTACCAGCACCTAATGATGTACACTTCATTGAAATGATGGGTGATGACAATTCTCTCAATTCTGAAGAAAAAACAATTGAAATTGGTGGAGCTTTTACGAAGTCTAACGTGCAAAGAAGTGGCTAAGAAGTCAAGCTTGGTGATTGGGGACACTCTTCTTTTCTGAGAGTGTATGGATTGTTTATTTTGTCATCATTTCTGCTATGCAATTCTTTTTTATTTTATTTTAGTAAGTCAGACCTTTCTATCATTTCTCTTATGTTTTTGTTTGTTAAGTCTTGTCATAGTTTGGGTTATTATAGAGTTATAACCTAAAATTTAGTTTGTTGTCTTGTTACCAAAGTCCTTTTATCTTAATATAATATTTGTCTTGTGTCACTTTGATCCATTCTATTTGGCTTTTCATATATGCAAGAGGATTTGGTCAGATCTTAAGGTTATATCTAGTCATGGAATGAATACACCAAAGAAGTAAAAAAAAATGAGAAAATGAATAAAGGACTTAAACACCTTGATACGTCCTTTAGTATCGAAAATGGTTAAAAGAATAAATTTCATTTATATTAACGTATGTCGTTTGTTGTCAAGAAGGTATTACTCAAATGAAGATTTCAAGCTGACAAATATGGAACAAAAATGATAAACATATCCATCAATGCATACGTTGCAAAAGAGATAATGTATGATTTTTCACTTCACATCTTAAAGGGCATGCTTGTATTTGGCATTTGTAATAATTGATATGACGAAGGCATTTCATTCTACTATTCAAACACCGTGTAATCCTTTACTACCCCTTTTGAGCCTTAATTTTATTTTCTTTCATACCCCTCTTTTGGAATCAAAATACAATAAAAAAAGAAAGAAAAAAAAGAATCACAAATTCAAAAAAGAAGAAAGAAAAAAGAAAAAAGAAGTCACAAAAAAAAAGAGTCAAGAAAAAAAAAGTGAAAAAAGGTTGAAAAATCAATAACAACAAAAGAACAAACTTCCTGAACTACGTTCCACCTGATTCTTGCTTTGACAAGATACATAGGCAACCTTATTTTGAGGTTCAGTCCAACCAAGAAAAAAGTCTAGAAAGTCTTCATCATTAAAACTGGGGCAAAAATAATAATTATTTTATTTTTACAAAGAAAAAAAAGTCGATTCCAAAAGTTGTAAGTCTTAACCCTGTTATCACAGTATCTTTGAGCTTTCATGCCGATCATTTCTTTGTAACCCTGTCCAAAAGTCATGTTACAGTCCAAATAAATACCTTCTGATCATTTTTTAACAATGACAAGTCAAGCAAGCTTTCAGTGTTGATTATCATACTAGGAAAAATGTCATGCCACTCGCATAAAGAGTGAAAAAGAAGGGAATCTTATAGATGAAAATCATCGAAAGCACTATAAGAGATCATTTGAGTTGAGACAAAGTGAAAAATGAGAGAGTCTTATTGGTGAAAACTCTCAGGGCACTGTAAGACGATAGTGAGTGAGAGATTATAAAATAAAAAAAAGACTTGTTAGTGAAAACCTTTCGAGGCACCACAAGTCAAGTGTTAATCATAAATCTAGTGCAAAAGTTAGATTATAGAAGTCTGACTTCAAAGTTTAAATTTTGACGAAGATGAAGTTTAGATTGATTGGACAGACCAGGCCATTTAATCCGAAATGCATGTCATGATCATTAGAATTGACCACCACTATCAATGAAGTCCATTTATTTTTATTTAATTATTTTCTCAAAAGGGTCAAATATTATTTCTTCTTATTTTGTGTCGCTCAATTCGATCTTGAGTTAGTCTTCATTAAGCAAGCGGAAAATGGTTTCAAAATTGCTACCATCTCTTCAATTGCACAAAACAAAGTTTGGTCAGCAGATCAATCGTGATATGATCTAAGAAATAATCATATGCATAGTAACTTGTCAACAATTGGCAATTTTTGAGAATTTATATGAATACAAGATTCAATTATTGTTGGAAGGTGGAAAGAATATAACAAATCTAAGGATGTTTTCAAGATTATCGAGGTGGGCTGACTAGCAAACGGAAACAGTCTGCCCAAACTGATATGGTTCAACATTGCAATAAAAGGAGCAATCATCTTCAAAGCCAAGGTCACAAATCAACCACCAATTTAAAACTCACAATTTTTTTTTAAATAAGAAGCTTTCTTGCTGAAATAAACATTGTTTCACAGGTTCAAATTGGATAAGTGAGTTACGATAAAAACCTATCACCATTTTTATTTTTATACTTGCACGAATAATTATTTTTATTTTCTCCTAAGATAAATACTTCCTAGTCTGAGACCGTTATTTTTTATTTCCTACTAGGATAAACACTTCCTAGTCTGAGATTGTTTTATTTATTTTCTCTTAGGATAAGTTCTTCCTAGTCTGAGACGTTTTTTTTTGTTTTTTTCTAGGATAAACACTTCCTAGTCTGAGACGTTTTTTTTCAATTCTCTCCTAGGATAAACACTTCCTAGTCTGACACGTTTTTTTTTATTCCCTCCTAGGATAAACACTTCCTAGTCTGAGACGTTATTTTTTATTTTCTCCAAGGATAAACACTTTCTAGTCTGAGACCGTTAACTTTCATTTTCTCCTGAGATAAACGCTTCGTAGTCTGAGACTGTTATTTTTCATTTTCTCCTAGGATAAACACTTCCTAGTTTGGTACCGTTATTTTTCATTTTCTCCTAGGATAAACATTTCCTAGTCTGAGATCATTATTTTTAATTTATTCCTAGGATAAACACTTCATAGTCTGATACGTTTTTTTTTATTTTCTCCTAGGATAAACACTTCCTAGTCTGAGACGTTATTTTTTTTATTTTCTCCTAGGATAAACACTTCCAGTCTGAGACTGTATTTTTTATTTTCTCCTAGGATAAACACTCCTAGTCTGAGACTGTATTTTTTATTTTTCTCCTATGATAAACACTTCCTAGTCTGAGATTGTTATTTTTTATGTTCTCCTCGGATAAACACTTCCTAGTCTGACACGTTATATTTCATTTTCTCCTAGGATAAACACTTCCTAGTCTGCGATTGTTTATTTTTATTTCTCCTAGGATAAACACTTCCTAGTCTGCGATTTGTTATTTTTTATTTCTCCTAGGATAAACACTTCCTTGTCTGAGACATTATTTTTATTTTCTTGTAGGATAAACACTTCCTATTTTGAGATCGCTAGTTTTCATTTTCCCCTAGGATAAACACTTCCTAGTCTGAGATCGTTATTTTTTATTTTTCTCCTACGATAAACACTTCCTAGTCTAAGATTGTTATTTTTCATTTTTCTCCTGGGATAAATACTTCCTAGTCTGAGACCGTTTTTTTATTTATTTATTTTCTCCTAGGATAAACACCTCATAGTTTGAGACATTTTTTTTATTTTCTCCTAGGGTAAACACTTTCTAGTCTGAGACATTTATATTTTATTTTTTCCTAGGATAAACACTTCCTAGTCTGGGTTTATTTTTGAAAATTTACATCTGCTCATAACTCACAAAAATTTCCAATGAAAACTGGGGCGAAAATTTTGTTTATTTCTTTTGTTTGTGATGGTTTTCAGGTTTGTTCAAGCGAAACATGGATTTGAAATTCAAGAACAAAATTTCAACTCTTTTCAGAATTATCAATCCCCATGCTAGCTAGAATCAGCTTCTTCAATGTATGTAGCAACCTGATCACCTGACACCTGCTTCTATCCAGTTACTGATCAGAAAACTGCAGTCATTCAAGAACATTTTAGCAAAGTAATCAACCATATGATTTCCTTCTCTGAATACATGTTCCACCCTTATTACACAATTGTTCCTAAGTTCCTTAAATTTCTTCACTTCCAAACTTATTTCCCAAGGGACCTCCCAAATACCTTTAAGCACATTTTTCATGGTTAATGAATCAATTTCCATCTCTACTTGAGTATAATGTGCCAGAATGCAAAATTCTAGCCCTGTTATTAGTACCTTAGCTTCAGCTATAAGATTATTACCATCCAATAGTCTAGATAATTTTGCGTATATAAAATTATCAGAAGAATCTCTCACACAAAAGCCACTTGAGCTAGGTCTTGGATTGCCTTTAGAAGCTCCATTTGTATTACATTTGTAACTTCCTACCTCAGGTTTCCTCCAGATAACTACTTTTGTAACAATAGAAGGTGTATATTCTTTCAGAAATTTAACAAGCATGGGCTAGTGATAAGGAATATAAGGCAATCAGGTAGAGAGATTGTCAAATCAGACTTCAAGTTGGTGTGCCTACACCTTTTCAAGAACCAAATCTGCCTATTAATTTCTTCCACAGTCTTATAAAAAGACATCTTCTCCCCATGCTTAAGAGCATTCCTTCTCTTTCCAAAGTTGCCAAATAATGAAAGGAGGCAGTGCCATCAAGATTGACTTAAGTTTTGGAGGTGCATCCAGTTTCCACCAGTTGTGGAGAAATACCTTCAACTGAAAACCTGGAATTTGTACCCCAACTGGAGTAATAAAGTTCTGCTAAGTCCTTTTAGCAAAAGAAGAAGTCAGAAAAACATAATCAATAGTTTATGTTTGTGGCCTAGTACAACAATAACAAAGAGCCTCCTCCACCACCTTTATTCTGATCAACACTTCCCCTAAAGGAAGTATTTTTTTCCCATTATTCTTCACAAAAAGAAAGAGACCTTAAAAGTACACCTTTAATCAAGAAGTTTGCAAATTTAGCATTATTGCCTTCCTTTTGTCTCACCTCTTCCCATGCACTACTAACTATAAGCTTCCCAAAGCTGGTAAGCATTCACAAAGGCTCATCCCATTCCTCGGTAGGTTCTAAGTAAGAAAATTCACTGTGAATCTGATAAATAGAGGAAATAATATTGATGAAGTTTCTCATCCTTCAAAGCATTTTCCTCCATGAGTTCATTTATCTCTTCCACATAAAGGTCTAGATTCATAGATGGCTAATTTAGTCTAATTATCATACCAAACGTTTGAATTCCCACATTTAGGTTCCCACCAAATCAACTGATTAAAAACTTTCTCTAGCTTCCAACATGTATTTCCACAATTGTGAGCCCCCTTTCCATTCAACTACTTGAGGTCTAAGCCTTTTGCAATATTTATTCCACATAAAATTGATCCACATGGATTTTTTGGTTCTGAAAGTCCACCAAAGTTTTACAAACAGAGCCTTAGAAACATCAAATAGTGATTTAAAACCAAGACCACCTTCTTCCCTAGGAAAGCACATGTTGGTCCAAGCGACCCAGTGCTTATGCCTTTCTCCCTCATTGTTACTCAAAAAAAATCTAGCAAACAATTTGTGTAGTTCATAGATAACACATTTGGGAGGAGTAATAGAAGATAAAAGGTAAATAGGAAGACTTTGCAACACAGTATTAATCGGGACAACCTTACCTCCATAAGATAAGATCCTGCCTTTTCAGGCTTGCAACTTGTTCTTCACTTTTTTTGAGCTATGTAAAGTGTGACTTCCTTTTCCTAGCATGACCAATTGGACACCCCAAATAAATAAAAGAAATTTTTTCCTTTATTAAAACCCGTGACCTCCTCAACCTGTTAATTGACTTGCCTAGCAGTTTTATTAAAAACATAGAAGAAGTTTTTTTTCTTTTTTGATTTTCTAGTCAGATTGTCTTTTATATTTCCCCAAAGTATTCATAATCATTTGCAAAGAACTCTTATCAGCAGAAGATAAAATGATAGTATCATTAGCATAGTCTAGGTGATTGAGATATGTATTGTCACGACCCGAGTCTACACCCTGGACGTGGCCGGCACTCAAGAACCATTGCTGGTCCCCAAGTGAACCCTTATCCTGGCTGACTACAAGCGGAAGACTAACTTAAGCATGCAAAAACTTAAAACCAAATAAAATTTAATTATATAAATTACTAACGATTTTGCTTTTACAAAATTGATTTATAATTTTGTAATTAAAACCTATCATGTTGTCACCAAAAATATTGGTTTAATGACACAACAAAATTGTCACTAAACCTTATCGTGATTAGTGACAATGACAGTTATGATAAAATACAAATTTAATTTGTAGTTAAAAATGAATTATCTTATCATAGAGAAAATTCTAAGACAAATATTTTGTGACAAATGTAGTTATCCTGACTAAACTGAAAAGTAAATGAAATCCTCCGAAAGCAAGGATGCTCACCATAGCTAACTCAAAGTCTCGGATGTATCAACGAAGCTCCTGTTGATGATCCTGAATACCTGTGTCTGCATCATGAGAAGATGCAGGCCAAATGGCTCAGTACGTGGAATGTACGAGCATGTAAGGGGAATTCTAAAGCATAACATAAGCTTGAACTTGATAAAAAGGAAACATACTTACCTCTTTTCAAACTCACTCAACTTAAGAATAAGATACTCAACTCATGGATTAGATACTGAACTTCAAAGATATGATAATTGACTCAATGAAGCACAAATCAACTCAAGATACTCAACTTAAGGTACTCAACTCGAAATACTCAACATAACTGGACTCATTTCATTATAAAGCAGTTTAAAGACATGTGCAATATAAAGAAAAGCTGTTTAAAACATGGTTTTTCAACTCTGTGTATTTATAAATACAATGATAACTCTGTATGTATGCAAAGATACAATATGAACTTTGAGATGTATGTAAAGATACAAAATAAACTGATGTATAAAAATACAATAACTTATGTGGGAGTTTCTCTAACCGACAACCATCACATAAGAGCTATTGTGAAGATACATCGATCTTCCTCACACTGCCAGCGCATCCTATACCTGGCCAAAGGTATAGGACCTGAACTGCCTAATGGATCCACTAGTCTATGTGAAAAGGGTTCATCTAAAAAGTATGACCCTTTTCTACTCATGATGGCTACATGATTTATGGGGGCTGTGAGTTATCTGAACTCTCCCCCATATCATTGCTCAATACTACTCCCAAAATACACCAGCTCTTTATGTTTTAAAAACATAAAACATACTTCTTTCTGCTGATTTGAGATAATTGCTCAAAAACTTAGCTCAAAGGCTATCTTGGAAATCAAGGTTTCCTCTCTTGCTTTATTGTGAATGCATTTACTCTTTTCTGAAAACTAGCCCGAAAGCTCTTTGGAAATCTCAGTTTCCGTTCTTATTTAAATGTGAAAACATTTATAAACTCTTTGGGAATACTTAGTCCCCATATACTTTTTGAAGAAAAGAACTTCAACTTTACCCTTTACTGAACTCAAAGCTTTAAGTCTTAAAACAAAGTTTAAACATTTGTAAAAGACTTCTTAAGATATGGTTCATGCCGAATTATGGACATGAACGACTCAATGCAAGGTTTTCAATAACCATGGATAGAACTCAATACTTGGAACTCAAAAACTTCAATGATACTACTCATCTCAATATTTTTCGACTTATAGCGTTCATGCGAAATTATGGGCATGAAATATTCAACTCAAGTACTCAAAGATGCTTCTCAAAAGGGATTAGAAACTCAACACTTAAAAGGCTTAGAACTTGAATATACCACTTCTCTGAAAGATGCTCAACTTACGAAGTTTATGCGAAATTATGGGCATGAAACAACTCGACTCAATGGTCTACATAACTATATGGAACTCATGTATACGACTCTTCTTATTCTCTGACTTACTTCCTCAAACTTAGTTCAACTCATGCTCACTTACTCACTTACTCGAGTCTTGAAACAAGTTACTAGAAGTTGTAGAAGACTCCATTAAATAACTCAAAGGGACTTTCTTAAAATGTTCGAAAGAATTCTCAAAACTTAACTCTCAACTCTACCTTGAATTTGAATTATGAATTCAAGGTTATGATTCATGTTTCTGGATGATTTCTAGATGTTTAGAAGTTATTTAGAGTAGTTAGAATCAATAGGAAGTGCTAAACCACTTTAGAAAGACTTAAACGGACTGAATGACGAAAAACTGGTGAAAAACGACGATATGGGCTCATCCCGGGCGCGCCGCGCCAGCCCCAACTTACTGGGGCTCAAATCTAGCGCACTGCTGGCGTGCCGCGCCATCCCCTTGGACGCTATGGGAGCGCGTCGCGCCAGCCTCCCTCAAGCAAAATTATGACGAACTTTTGATCCTAAATCATTTTAATTCGATTCTTTTTCTCAAATTCACTTTAGATTCATGTACCCAAATCATATATACAAAATCTAACCCAAACAACTCAAGGAAACAACACTTTAACATAAAGAAACTCCTTAATCCCAACTCATAGTCAAGAACGAAATCAATTCAAGAACAACTATCAAGAACATCAAATTCTCAATCTTTTTAGGACGAAAATACGCTGAATTAAACATGCTTGGCGCGTGGGTGAACTAACCCAATGCTATGTGATCTCACATACCTTGTAGGGATCACCCCCGACGAAATCCACAAGCTAAACTCGACGAGCTTGAC